CAAACAGATACATAGATTCAGTACAATTTCCTTAGAGATCCAGCAGTGTTGGCCAGGCATGGTGGCTTACACCTGCAGTCCCAGCATTTTGGGAGGCTGAGTCAGGCACATCAGCTGAGGTCAGGAGTTTGACACCAGCCAGCCTGACTAACATGGAAAAAAACAGTCTTTACTAAAAGTACAAAACTAGCTGGTCAAAGTGGGTCATGCCTGTAATCCCAGCTACTTGGGAGGCTGAAGCAGGAGAATTGCTTGAACCTGGGAGGTGGAGTTTGCAGTGAGCAGAGATCATACTATTGCACTCCAGCCTGGGCAACAAAGAACAAGACTCAGTCTAAAAAAAAAAAAAAGAAAAGAAAAATCCAGAAATTCAGCAGTGTTATTTTTGGTTTTGGTTTTGTTTTCTTTTGCCATTGGACATTGGCAAACATTTTCTAAATGTTATATACAAAGGTAAAAGTCATATATAGCTAAAGCAGTCTTAAAATTAGACAAAATTAGGGGATATATGTGATTACATGTAAGATATTTTTAAAAGCTTAAATAATTTAGACAGTGCGGTATGCTTATAGTGATAGATAAGCTCTTGGTACAGAAAAGGGAGTCCAGTAACTGACCCAAATTTACATGGATGTGAGATTATAGCAAAGCTGCCACCGGAAAGCAAGTAAAGGGCTGGGCACAGTGGTTGATGCCTGTAATCCCAGCAGTTTGGGAGGCTGAGGTGGGCAGATCACATGAGGTCAGGAGTTCAAGACCAGTCTGACCAACATGGTGAAACTCCATCTAAACTAAAAATACAAAAATTTAGCCAGGCATGGTGGTACACGTATGTAATTCCAGCTAATTGGGAGGCTGAGGTGGGAGAATCGCTAGAACTCAGGAGGTGGAGGTTGCAGTGAGCTGAGATTCTGTCTTCAAAAAAGAAAAAAAAGGGGAAAATGAAACAAGTTCACCACTCCAGTAATGTGCTTGGTTAATTGGATATTTATATTGTTCCATTGTCCATATTAATAACTCACCTCAAAACTTAGTAGCTTAAGATGACATCACTAATTTAATATTTTTTTTTGTATGTGGGTCAAAATTTAGGGAAGTGAAAACTTAACTGGGCAACCTGTCTGTAGATCTTATATATGATTGCAGTCACACAGATTTGAACTGAAACAGTTGATGTCTGGAATACCTAAGAATGTGCAGGTCTGTGCTCTGCCTTCTTGTGTCTCTTCTCTCTCTCTCTCTCTCTCTCTCTCTTTCTCTTTGTCTCTTTCTCTCCATGTATTCTCAAGGATACTCCCTTTTGTCTGTCCAAGATGGATAGTTTGGAATTCCAAACAGCCTCAGGGCAGATCTACTCCCATGGTGGCTCAGTTCTCCAATGCAAGTTTTCCACAAAGTAAGGTAGAATCTGCCTCACCTTTTATGACTTAACATAAATGGACAGCATAACTTTGCTGCACATTATTTAATACAAGCAAAACATACACTACTCTGCTTCAAGAGAAGTGGCTCTAGACCCTCATTTTTTGATGGGATAAGTATCAAATCACATTATACAAAAAACAAACAAACATATATGAGCATAGTTAGTTTTGAATCCCTCTTTAGCAAATAGTCTATTAAATATACAAAAAAAAGTGAAAGTAGGCCCCACCTCAAACCATACCCATAACTGGATTCCAATATTACTGTTTCCAGGAGATACAAAAGGAGGTCTTCAGGATCTTGGTGAAAGCTATGGTTAGTACGCCTGACTCACAAGTATTTACCTGTGTAACCAACCTGCACACATACCCCGAACCTAAAATAAAAGTTAAAAATTTTTGTAAAAGGATTTTTATACAAAACAGAAAAATTATACATAAGGAAAAGTTTGATGAATTATTCTTCCATTACAATTATGATCTTTTGTTCATCAAAAGAATGCATTAACAAGAGAAAAGTAAAAAAATAGAGTGGGGGAGTGTATTTGCAACACATAATCTAGGAAAGGTTTTAAGTGCAAAACACATGACAAACTTATATGAATCAATAGAAATGAGCAAGTAATCCAATGGAAAATTGGGCAAGAGACTTTAATAGTCACCTCACAAAAGACAGTATTTATGTGTCATAAATATAAGTGTATGTTTCAGGCCCTCCCAAAACATATAAAGTATATAAAAATTAGCTTAATCTCACTAATAGGGGAATTCAAATTAAAACCTCTGTCACATACCACTATACCTCCACCACAGTGGCTTAAATTAGACAACTGGCAATACCCGATATTGGTGAGGAAGTGGGTCAACTCAAACTCTCTTAGACTGTTAAGAGACAAGTTTGGTGAAACCACTTTTAATATCTGTTGGTAGTATCTACTATGACCCAGACTCATAATCAACTGGCAGTCATTCACCTGAGCCATTTGCAAGAAGGTTTATAGCAGAATTATTAAAATAGCCCAATCATTGCTAGAAATAGGAAACTGGAGACAACCAAAATATCTTACCAGTTTAGAATGAATACATTGTGATATTTTTATGCATTAGAATACTATGCAGATGAGAAAAGGAATATGCTAATGCAGGCCACAAAAATACAGATGGAGATTACAAAAACTATTCAGTAAATGATGCTAAATTCAAAAGAAGGGATGTAGACGTCAAGATAATGATATCTTTGGGGAGAGGAGAAAAACTAATCATGGGGGATGCTGAAAGGGGTTCCGATGTCTTAATAACAATTCTATTTCTTGACTTAGAAGTAATAGTTGCATTGATGTGTACCCTTGAATGAGGTATTAAATAATGCATTCATCTGTAAGTTTAATATTTCAATGGTAAGTTCATTTTTAAAACCAATGTTAAGTACACAGGATCCTTGGGAAAGACACAGAATCAGGTTTATTTTAACTGGTTGTTTTTAATAAAGCATGTTATTAGTTTTGAGTGATATTTAGGAGCACACGGAATCATTGGGAGAGGTAGAGAACAAATTCTAGAGGCTGTTTCTTTAGGAATGATGAAGGAAGTATTAAAGTGGGCTGGAATGGTTGCCTTGAAACACCCCTGCCTTGTCCAGAACCCTGGACGTTCTCCCCGAAATCACTGCCACCTCCCATCGCCAGAATGGATTCTGTGCAAGCTTTTTTGCTTGGGGCACTACCATCTTACTGATAACCTGGGACTGTGCTTCTATGTGGTGGAGCCTGGGTCCTTTGCACAGTCTAGCTTCAAGTCAGGCTAGTAAAGAAAAGGTATCCAGAGTTGTCCTTTTTTAATGGTCCTCATAAAGTGTGATTTTCAGAATGTAGGAAGGAGTTTCAGACACTTTCAATAATGAGTGCTCAATATCTGTATGTCTTTCCCATGTGTGTTCTTTGAGCTCATGTTCCCAGTAAGGTCCATGAATAGGAACAGGGTTTCCACATATTTGAGTGATGTGAAATGGTTGTTTTGCAGTCATTTACTCCAGTAAGGGTTAACAGAGTCATAAATGTCCCTCAATCTAAAATATATTTAGGCTTTTGCAGGTAGTTAACCCTTTCTCTGAGTAGTCACTTAATTCTTGCCCTTTATGAAGGTATTTTTACTCATTGCTGCTGCACCACAATCTCTTGAAATGCTTAGTATCCACAATGTTGTGAATTGCTTTTTCCTTCTGCATTTTATTTCATTTATTGACTATATGAAGGGGAATAATTACCGTGATTTACAAATACAGATATTTAAGTCTTTCAGCTGGCTTGGTATTATCACCCTTAAGTCAATAGACAGACATTTGTTTTCTTACACTTTAGCATCTTTAACATTTGTTTGCATTTTACAATAAATAGAATATTATCGTTATATTGCTAACTTTTTTCTTTTTAGCCATAGACTAATTATCTTATAAATAATCATTTATAAGAATTGCTTTGTAATCATTTATAGAGTTGTTGAAATGCAGTAACCATTAAATACAAAAATAATCACCTACAGATAGACTATCAAGGTCATTGTATAATTATACCTCTTAGTTATTTCCGTCTTTATTAATATAGACTTCAGACTTCAAGATCATTCAGTAAATTATACAAACCCAAGATAAACCCTTACTTCCATTCTTCTATTTTTACAGCTGTGTCTTTCTTCTCTGTTTATCTCAAAATGGCACCTGTGGCCTCTTCCACAGCCTCCTGGAGATACGTGAATTATACAAGGGAATCCTCAGGCCCATCAGGGACCTCTGTCATCTGCTTTCCTGAGCCCCCTAACAGAGAGCCAATGTTCTCCTTTTCCATACTTGATTAATTCAAAGATCAGTTATCCTCTGAAGCTTTACCTCAGATTTAAACAAATAAACTGTGAGAGCCATGATCATAATGTGGTTTTTCTGTGTTGGCTTCCTCCATCAGAAAGAATCCATTATTGCACACTCCTCCTTCCTCTTCCATACTGCTTGGGGATCAATCCTAACGATGGTATCTATTTGGATCATCATCTCTAGCTTTTGGTTCACTTTTGTGTCTGTCACCTCCTTTGACTTTCACAGGAAATGTGTGTTATTGTAGAATGATTCTTCTCATTTTACAGATAAAAGAATTTTTGAACAAGTTCTTGTAATAGTGAATGGTGGATTTCAAATGATAATTGATTTCTAAAATTTCACATTACTTGTTTTTCCTTATGCACTCTGCTCTTTAATATCCAGGCTTTGAATATTTCAACTTCTCTTTTATTTTTGAGTTGACTTATAATAATCTTCCAATAAAGAGTTTGAAAAAATAATAGTGCTTTTAATGTCTCCTAGACACAAACGAAATTTGATGGACTTTGTATGTGCTATCCAGTATTTCTATTAGCTGATTAATTCATTTTCAATTTAGTTTGGGAAATAATCTCACAAATTAACTGTTTGGAGTAGGGGTGGAGTTGAGTATTTGTTTTCGATGCAAACTAAATTTTAATGAATATACTTTAAACTAACATTGATCTTATTTGCGTATAATCTTGTTTTCAATACCTCTTTTATTCTAGTTATGTTTCGCCTTTATGACACGGATGGGAATGGCTTTCTGGACAGCTCGGTAATTTTTTTTTCGAATTATCTGTGAAAATTTCAGAGTTTCTTCTGAAAAATGCAATGAATAAATTTA